GGGGGAACCAAGGCCCCCGCGTGGAGGGAGGGAGTGGGGTTGGTGCTAGGGCTGGCACTGACACAGGGGCAGGCACTGCACAGCCAGGGCGGGGTGGGGCCTGGGACAGAGCCACAGCTTGTCTGGGGGGGAACAAGTCCTACCACTGCACATGTTCTGAGAGGGTATGGGGGGGGGGTGGGCTGGCTGTGCCCCCTGGATCTGAGTGTGGGGCAAGGGTGGGCTGCTGTTGTGGCCTGAGCCAGGCTGAGTTCAAGGAGGGAAGCAGCAGTGCTTGGAGGCCTATGGGGGGGCTACCTCAAAACTGACCATAGCCCCCGCTCCCAGCACCACCGCCTGCCCCAAACACACCCCCGCCAGCCCAGCTCCCCTGCTGGGTAGAGCCCAGCACTGCCCCCAGCGGCAGCCCACCCTCGCCCTGTGCAGATCCAGGGGGCACACCCTACCATGCCCTCCCAGGATGAATGAAGTGGTGGGAGCCACCTGCCTCCCCCTCCCCATATGCCCTGGATGACCTGTGGCTTCATCCCACACCCCATCCCAGCTGTGCAGCGTCTGCCTCTATCCCACCTCCCTGTGGGGGCCTTGGTCTGCCCCCTCCATGCCCCTTCCCCGCTGCTCTGTATGCCACGTAGCAACAATGGGATCAGACTCTCTCTCTCTTTTATATCAGAGAATTGGGGGGGTTAAATAGAGAAAACCAGGATCCCTTATTATAAGGCAAGTGGCCTAACTCTACAACCCTTGTACTGCACAGTACACAAGTGCAAACTGATCTCAGTGACCCAGGAAGCCCCTTCTAGTTCTATGTATCCTGAACTGCAGTTGTCCAGTCTTGACTATAACCAATGATTCCTATTTTGAATACTCCTTCTCCCAAAATGGATTACAGTAGAAATCCTGCTTTGCTTTTAGTCAGTTTAGGCTTAGGAACATATTTTTCACCTTACTCCTATCACTGAAAATCCAGCTTGTACAATATGATCACAATGACTTGGGACACAAAGTTTAGGTCTGTATTATGAGAATTCAATTACTTTAAAAAAATGAAATTAAATATTCCTTGAATAGCTTATCTAAATAACTTTAGGTATATGTACAGAATTTAGAAAATAGTGCAGTCCTGAACACTAATATTGTATTTGTTTAGGCCTTGATACAGTAAACAGGTGGCATGTGCTTATAATTAATGGGAAAAAATGAGTCTGTTTAAGAAGTAAAAATGCTCTTAGAGATGTTATCCACAGTTCTGAAAACCAACACTGCTGTAAACAACTAGAATTATGCAATAACTTGTTAACAAGGTTTTCATTTCCAGAACTGTTGAAGACATTGACGTGTCTGTTATTTTCAAATAAAAGAAGTTACTGCATTTCAAATAATCTTGGGGAGGCTATGCTTTAAAAAGGTAAAAATTAAAAAGCTTTTATTTTAGCTACCCTTAAAGTTGTGTTAGGCCAGCATTCCCTTTGAAAACAGTGGGATTACTTTTGTGATTCTATTCAATTCAGTAAGGTTAGCAGAACTGAACCCTTAGCTAGTATGTATAAAATACTGGTATTAATGTTCTATAGTGCTCAAATTCAGAGTTATCCAAAGTATAACTTTTCCAAACCAAGCACCAACAGAAATTAAATTCTTCTGCTTTCTGAACTCAAGTAAGAAAAACACATTTTCCCAGTTGAAGGAGAGAAAAAAAGACAGAAGAAAGAAACTATACTTTTAACTTTGTCAATAACGTGTCAGTACTTAAACCATACAGAAGACAAGGTGAAGAACAACTTTTAACGTGCTCACTGTATTTTTGGCTTGAGCCATCATTTCATGGGACAAGTGAAGCAAGCAAAGTACTGTGCTCTTGGTGACACCTTTTCCCATGAACGACATAGCATTTCCTCCCCACTCAACATAAAAAGACGAGATGACCTGGAAAAAACAAAACAAACTATTACCTTCAGTAAAGCTACCATGAAATATACAGACAGTAAAAACTGTTCTACAGACTCCCATGAATTTAAATCGTAACTATGAAAAGTCAGTAGCCTTTATCAAATATACATTTTCCTTGCATTTTTAGCCATTCTATTATAATTCTAGACATTCTATTATAACAAGTTACATTGTCAGAGGCTAACTTGTGATATAGCTATAACCTCGTGTTCAGCCACCTGCTCTTATCTTGGCTTTCCTTCATGTCTACAGTGACCTTCATTTACCTATTGTTTATAGACCTGGTAGAACTTTTGTGTTTTCATTCTATTCATTATTTATCTTTTTTTTTTTTTTTTGGCCAAATCTTGTATTAGCATACTTAGAATTTTAATGTATTCTTTTGTTTACACATTTTCGATTTTTAACCTTGGACACGCTCACACGTAATTTGCCAAAACCTAGGCCCCAAATAATTCCAAGTCTGTCTGATTAATTTAGTATTTACATGCTCTGATAGGATAATTCAAAGTGGGGAAGGAACACAAACCTGCCCCACATATAATTTATGAAGACCTGCATACTTTTTAGTTATAGAAGGCCTTTTAATATTTTCAGCTCTTAAGAAATGTCCCTTGGACAGTCTGAATTCAATATCCAGGAGAAACTGGTTGGCTGTATCATAATACCCATGTGAAAAATAGCTTAAGTGTTTCTTTAGTTGTCGGCACTTTGTACACTATAAAGGACAGTCATTTTGAGCTGTTTATTGCTACTTATATGAATTGAAAATCTTTATTTCATACAGGAACACCTGCTGAATAGTAGCAGTTACAGTAAGGTGATGTAACTGTCTGGCCAGAGATTGTTAAAACATAACAAAACAAAAATCAAACCTGTGTAAATCAGACCTAAATAACCTGCTTAAAGTATGTTAAGAACTGCATGTAATGGAATGTATTTTCCCCCAAAGCATGGCTATTACAACCTATCAATTCATCTCTGTTTCCCACCACTCCATGAAACAACTCTCTATCAAGTTATATGTTATTCAGTTGACTTTAAACTGCATAATACATAATGCAGATAGGATCTTAGCGTTATCAGGAGGATCTCTACTGCCTATTTCCCAGCTGTTATCTGAAACCAAACTCTTTAGCAGAAAACCTTGTTCTTTGCAATAGCATCTATAATTTGGGTGCCTTTTTAAATTTAAAATCCCATCTGAAGCAGTCAATCAAGTGGCTCTAGCTATTTTATTTCCATTTCAGAAACCTTGCCACTTCATCATAACTCAGTGTTTCAACACTTACTTTACATTTTTTGTTTCATCATAACTCACAGTTAATATAGAGGTTACCAAAAATCTCTATTTAGAGCTAGAAAAAGCATGGAAAAAAGTATATATTCTGAATCTTTAAAAGGGCAATAGCCAATGTATTTATTTTCACTCTATTTCATAACCAGTAACAAGATCAAAATTTTAAAAATCTAGCCTTAAGTACTTTTTATGTTATAAAATTATTTAAGAACACTAGAGTGCTGGTAAAGTTGTACTTTTGAAGAGGAACTAGAAAAATAAGCATAACATTTTGGATGTACCCGTCATGAAAGGCTATTGTTAGTTCACTGAGTTTTCCCTATGTTACTTTCATCTAAGGTACTGAGAGATGTTCGTTTAAAAGGAGTGATGGGATCTGACCCTTAATACTAAACCTCACAATCCTGGGCTCCCCCCTAAACCACCAGCAAATTGAAAGCTGGGTGCCTGACAGTCAAACTGACTGTCAGCTTGCTTTTGGACCACACTAGGGCTCTAAACAGCAGCCTAATTTATCAATCCAGGTGTTCCTTTTTTGGAAGATTTAAAAGGACATCTGCTTGTAGACAGATACAGTGTGCATGCCTGTGTGTGTTCATAGTTACAAAACACAGTCAAAATGTCCAGAAACTCAGTTTTATTTTTTAAATACTCTGGCTTATACACCCCCCTATTATTTGGATTGATTTCTTAATTTTTAATTTCAATTAATATTTGTCTTTACAGACTGGTTTCAGTAGCTAGCTTGGAAGACTGACAATGCACGTTCTAGTTTTCAGCTGATGTCTTTTTCTTGAATGAGGAGGCCACCGCTCCTTATTACAATAAAACAAATTGTTACATAACCATTTTGAACAGTTATATAGCCAGAACAGTCTACACTAACATGAAAGTAATCTTCGTTTGGTGCAGATTTCAAATTGCTCTGGATGAAATTAATTTTGATATCACTAGTTATGATACTCTGAAAATAACATATGAACAATAAATATATTTTGCATAAACTCCCATTTAAGATCGTAAACAATTCTCAATCCGACATTGAAGTCATTGCTAGTTTTGCCATTCACTTCAAAGAGAATGGGATAAGGTCCAAAGTGCACAGATGGGAAAGATTATGGCATATCTTCATGCATGGATAACTTACTGGCTCTCTCAAAGTCTAGTACAAGTGGCAACATGTGCACCTGTCATAAAATCTTCAGAAAGGGCACCACAGAGCATAAAAACACTGCACTCTTGTCAAACACAAAAATTAATGAAATATACAGTTTTATGGACAAATCTGTTTCATTCCACCACTCAAGTTAATTATTGATTTCTAACTGGCTATACACAATATTACGATTTTCCTTCCTTGCATCTTGTAACTTATACACGCCCAAAATGTCAAGTTCACTAATTGCACACATCCATTGTTAGGTTTTCACCAAAAAAAAAGAAACAACCCCCCCTCAAAAAACACCACTCTGCAACCAAATTACAAGTAAAATTTCCCAAAACATATATTTCCCTCAGTAATACTGTATTCACAATATTAATATTTTGCTTTATGATTGTTACATAAATGACCAAATGACAGCATAAGCAACTTACCTCAAGAAGGCCTGTTAAATATTTCATACAAATTGTGAATGATTCAGTTGTGACAGAATGTGTACTCCAGCCTGGGAATGCAGTAACGTGAACCATTCCTCGTAAAGTTCTCTCCAGAGAAGGAAGTCCATAGAAGTGGGGTGCATTTGTTACCCGTAAACACTGCAGCAGCTTCAAAGCCAGCTGTGTTCGGAAACAGTCAGCAAGTTCCAAACCCTTTCTGTGGCCATAGACAAAGTAAAAAAGTCAGTCAACAGTATAAAAGTTTCCCTAATCTACAATTGCTCAGGTTACTATTGATATCTTATTGCATCTGTAGTTGTTCTATTAGTTTAGGTGTCTGAATCGCATTGCCTTTTGTATATGGAAAGTGGAAATCAACAACTCCAGCTTTATGTATTTGAGTTCTGAAAGTACAAAATTTCATTTATCATCATATTGGGACATTCATTCAACTTAAAAAAAATTACTGCAAACAGAACTGTTAAACTAAAGAACCTGTTCACCATAAGTGAAAAAAATTAAATGCTTTATAACATAAAGAAAATGACAAAGCTCAGTGCATTTAAATCCATTCTAAAATCAAAGTGTCAGAGAGATTTCCTGTAGTTAGAGAGCTTCCAAGCTAGAAATCAACTAAAAATTGTAGAACAGTTTGGACCATGCTCCCATTTGTAGTGACACAATTTTCTAATCCTTCTTTTTCAGATGTCTTGTTCATTGATAATGATTTGAATAAATGAACCAGAGAATAAAATAACGCTCTGAAGAAGCTCTCTATGCAAACGTGTAATTAGATGGTGATTTTAATTATTTTCAGTCATGTTTTTAGACATATTTTGATTAAGAGCCTTTGTACATATACTTAGGCAAAATAATGAGTTTAGAGATGCTTAGCGTTTAACACAGAGGTGCCCAACACACATGGCATGGTATGCATACACTTGTATGCATGTCCGAACACCAAATGTTAAATCAGTGATTAATAATTTCAAATACTATAAATTGATAATAGGATGAGGTTTTCTCCCCAATCAGCTTAGGAAAAAACGTCTTACATTTGCATACAAGGAAACCTCATTAAATATACTGCGTAGTGTTCAACTGCTGGTAAAAGAAGCATGCACTCATTAATAGAAACCAAGTATAAAGCTGATTAAATGTAGCCAACACTGAGCATGATTATAGAACACATGGTTCACATTGGGCAAACATACTGAATATCGAATCTAATTTTGGGGGAGCTGTCTTATATTCTGGGTCATCTTAAATTCAAGTAAATACAGCAGTATCTTTTAGCTTGATTCTTGAAGTTTAGTAGATTCATTAGTTATAACTATTAAGTATATAAAAAGTAGTCTAGATTTGATACAGTGCCCTTCAAGAAGTGTTCATTGTATCAGTCATTCACATGTCTGTCTTTAAATATATAACACAATAGAAGAAAGGTTTAGAAAGATTAAAACAATATAATCTGTAAGAAAGTCATAATAAATAACCTAAGCAACGTGATTCGGTATACCAGTTTCAATGAATTTTAGGTAAAACACTCTCTATCAATTTCTAACATTTTTAATTACAGAAATGTTGTTAATCCTAACATATATACAACTGCCTAAGAACCTCATTCCAACCTATCGAAGTAAATAAATAGAAATTTTACCATGACTTTCATGGGCTTTTCAAAATATAACCAGCTCTATTTCTGACACAGCTGAGAGCATAATTGCAAAATATCAGTATACAGAAAGTTACCTTATTCCACCTACTAGCAATGTACTGCTGATATTTTTAAAACTTGCATCGAGACAGACAAGACATGTCAAAAAGGCAGGCTGCTGTGAGCCAATTTACACAAAAGTTATTAATCTTGTAGCAATAAGATAGTTTAAAATAGCAGCCAAACCTGTAAGATATCAGAACTCAGAATTTCTGACTGATTTAGTCAACTGTCTTTTTATTTTAGTCTGTTCAATATTAAGCGGTACCACACGTTTATGTATGTCAGAGGTGTGAAAATCATTTGACCTTATGAGCAATGCAGGACTTGTTCATGGGCTGGATGAATGGCGTGGGGCCAGCCCCACAGGCGAGGTCAGACCTATGCCCCCTTCACCCCCAACCCTTCCCATGCTAGATCCAGAACATGAGGTGCCTGCTGCAGCCAGATCTGGATGCAAGCCACATGTGGCACCCATTCTGGTTGGTCCAAAGCAGATGCTGTGTGCAGTACAGGTCCTGAACTAGCTGAAGGAGGCGCTGGACTAACTGAGCCTCCTCTCCACCTTCTGGGACCAGCATTGCCTATTGCATCTCCCTCAGAGCAGCTGGAGCAGGCGCTGCATGCAGCCTGGATCCCAGACTAGGCAGAATACACACCTCAGGTACTGGATCCAGCATAGGAGGGGCACAGAGAGGGAGGGGAGAGGAGTGTTCAGGACTGGTCCCATGTGAGCCAGCACCAGAGCACCAGGAATCAGATTCAGATTAGGTGGCTCTGTAGACTGGATCCTGTCCATGAGCTGTATCTTTGATACTGCCAATGGATATAGTGGCAAGAGTCCTTTTTTTTTTTT